ATTCTTATTCTCTGATCTCCTTCAATTTCCTTTTTTCCCCTATCTCTTTCTAAGTTCTTTCTATTTCCATCTTAATAAAAAAAAGCCTTCTTCCTCTTCTATTAGTCAATACTTCTACTCAATTCTTTAACATCAAAGCATTTTTCTTCATCATCTTCTAACATATTCTTCTTCTGATTCTTATTTTCTCTTTCTTCTTCATCTCTCTCCTCATCCTCTCTAAAAACTAAGGTAATAAAGACTTCTTCTGCTTTCTATCTTCCTTTCTATTAGTAAAATAAGTAGGTTTCTTTTCACTTCAATCTTCCCTTCCATTTCTCTATCTTCTGCAAATGTTTCTTATCTTTTCTTTCTCTCACTTCTATTCTTCTTCTCTCTCTCTTTTTCCTTCTAATTTCTGCTCTTCTTCTTTCTTACCTTTCTCTTCTCCTCTCTTCTCTCTTTCCTTCTTCTTTCTTTTTTTTTTCTTCTTTTCTTTTTCTTTCCTTTCTCCTTCTTCTTTTCTTTTCTTTTTTCTCTTTTCTTTTTCTTTTTCTCTTTTCTTTTATTCTTTCTTTTTTTCTCTTTCTTTTCTTTCTTTTCTTTCTTCTTTTATTCTTTTCTTTTTCTTTCTCTTTTTTCTTTTTTTTTTCTTTTTTTCTTTATTCTTTCTTCTTCTTTCTTTTTCTTATTTCTTTTCTTTTTTTTCTTTTTCTCTTTTTTTTTCTGTTTTCTTTTTTTTTTTCTTTTTTTTCATTTTTTTCTTTTCTTTCTTTTCTTTTTCTTTCTTTTATTCTTTCTTTTTTTCTTTTTTTTTTTTCTTTTTTTTCTCTCTTTCTTTTTCTTTTTTTTTTTTCTTCTTTCTTTTCTTCTTTTCTCTTCTTTCTTTCTTTCTTTTCTTTCTTTTCTTCTTCTTCTTTCTTCTTTCTTCTTTCTTCTCTTTCTTCTTTTCTTTCTTCTTCTTCTTTCTTTCTTTTCTTCTTTCTTTTCTTTCTTCTTTCTTTCTTCTTTCTTCTTTCTTCTTCTTCTCTTCTTTCTCTTCTTCTTCTTTTCTTCTTTCTTTCTTCTTCTTTCTTCTTCTTCTTTTCTTTCTTTCTTCTTTTCTTTCTTCTTTCTTCTCTTTCTTCTTCTTCTTTCTTCTTTCTTCTTCTTTCTTTCTTCTTCTTCTTTTCTTCTTTCTTCTTTCTTCTCTTTCTTCTTTCTCTTTCTTCTTTTCTTTCTCTTTCTTCTTTCTTTCTCTTCTTCTTCTTCTTTCTTTTCTTTCTTCTTTCTTTCTTCTTCTTTCTTCTTCTTTCTTTCTTCTTTCTTCTTCTTCTTTCTTCCTTCTTTCTTCTTTTCTTTCTTCTTTTCTCTTCTTTTCTTTCTTCTCTTCTTTTCTTCTTTCTTCTTTTCTTTCTTCTTCTTTCTTTTCTTCTTTCTTTTCTTCTTCTCTTTTCTTCTTTCTCTTCTCTTCTTTTCTTCTTCTTTCTTTTCTTCTTCTTTCTTTCTTCTTTTCTTCTTTCTTTCTTCTCTTCTTTTCTTTTCTTTCTTCTTTTCTCTTTCTTCTTTCTTCTTCTTTTCTTCTTTCTTTCTTCTTTCTCTTCTTCTTCTTTCTTTCTTCTTCTCTTTCTTCTTCTTCTTCTTTCTTTCTTCTTCTTTCTCTTCTTCTTCTTTCTTTCTTCTTCTTTCTCTTCTTTTCTTTCTCTTTCTTCTTTCTTCTTTCTTTTCTTTCTCTTCTTTCTTTTCTTCTTTCTTCTTTCTTCTTCTTTTCTTTTCTCTTCTTTCTTTTCTTTCTTCTTTCTTTCTTCTTCTTTCTTTTTTCTTCTTTTCTTTTCTTTCTTCTTCTTTCTTCTTTCTCTTTCTTTTTCTCTTTCTTTCTTTCTTCTTTCTTTCTTTCTTCTTCTTTCTTCTTCTTCTTTCTTTCTTCTTTCTTCTTTCTTTTCTTCTTTCTTTCTTCTCTTCTTCTTCTTTCTTTCTTTCTTCTTCTCTTTCTTTCTTTCTTCTTTCTTCTTTCTTCTTCTTTTCTTCTCTTTCTTTCTTCTTCTTCTTTCTTTTCTTTCTTCTCTTTCTTTCTTTTCTTCTTCTTTCTTTTCTTCTTCTTTCTTCTTTCTTTCTCTTCTTCTCTTTCTTTCTTCTTTCTTCTT